ATCACTACACCCAGATTTCTGGCCTGATTGGTGGTTTTTAGGTGTATGGACTGAAGTTCTGTAACAACCTGCTCTCGTTTCTCTTTAGCACCAAAAACAATCACCTCAGTTTTGTTTTTGTTCAGTTGAAGAAAGTTGAGGCACATCCAGTCATTAATCTCATCAATGCATTTACCAAGAGCATGTACAGGGCCCCGGTCTCCTGGTGATACTGTAATATATAGCTGAGTGTCATCTGCGTAGCTATGGTAACTAATATTGTTGTTCTTTATAACCTGAGCCAGTGGGAGCATGTAGATGTTAAACAGAAGAGGCCGTAGGATGGAGCCCTGGGGAACTCCACAGGTCATTTTTGTCTGCTCAGATGTAAAATTGCCTACTGACACAAAGTACTTCCTGTTCTCCAAGTATGTTTTGAACCAGTTTAGTACAGAACTAGAGAGGCCCACCCACTTCTCCAGTCGTTGGAGTAATATAATGTGGTCAGCTGTATCAAATGCAGCGCTGAGATCCAGTAAAACCAACACTGACATTTTACCAGCGTCAGTATTCAGACATATGTCATTCGTGACTTTGGTCAGAGCAGTCTCGGTGCTGTGGTGCTGTCTAAAACCTGATTGGAAGACATCATGACGGTTGTTTTCTCTTAAAAAGTCATTTAGCTGGTGAAAGGCTGCTTTTTCAATGATCTTACTTAAAAATGGAAGATTGGAGATCGGCCTGTAGCTCCTCATCTGTGTCTTGTCTAGATTATCCTTTTTTAGCAGAGGTTTGATCACAGCTGTTTTCAGTGACTCTGGGAAAACACCTGACGTTAGAGAGCAGTTCACAATCTGAAGCAGATCTGACTCCAAGGTCTTTTAGACCTTTTTAAAAAAACCAGTGGGCAGGATGTCCAAACAGCAAGAGGAGGAGTTCAATTGATGCAAGATGTCCTCCAATTCTTTGCTAGTAATGGGATAAAACTGTGTCATGATGTTTAGACTTGGTGGACACGATACAAGACCTGAACCTGCTGTTGTTGAACCAACAGCTTGTCTAATAATTTGGATTTTGTCTGTGAAAAATTTGGCAAAGTCATTGCAGGCTTTGGTAGAATAAAATTCAGGTGCTACTGACACAGGAGGGTTTGTTAGCCTGTCAGAAAAATACCAATTCCTTGCATTCCTCAGCTGTAAATTATAAAAGTGAAGTTTCTCTTTATAGATGTCATAATGAACCTGTAGTTTTGTTTTTCTCCATCTGCGCTCAGCTTTCCGACACTCTCTTTCCAGTTTTCACCAGTGTGGAATTTCTCCATGGAGACCTTTTCCTTCCAGGGACAACTTTCACCTTAATAGGAGCAATAGAATCCATGACACTCAGCATGTTAGCATTAAAGTTAGTGACCAGCTCATTGACTGAAGCCCCAGACAGGGCAGGTGTTAGAGAGAGGACCTGGTTAAAAATCTCACTGGTATTTTCAGTTATACACCGTTTTGTTATCACCTTCTTTGAGACATTTGTGCACTGAGATGGTACTCTCAAAGAAAACACAGCAGTGATCCGACAGCCCCACATCACACACCGTGATCTTAGAAATGTCCAGACCCTTCGAGATCAGTAGATCTAAGGTATGTCCTCTATTGTGTGTGGGCTCTGTGACCTGCTGGGTCAACCCGAAGTTGTCCAGAGTGTTAATCAGGTCTTTAGTCCCTTTGTCCTGATGACAGTCATAATGGATGTTAAAATCACCAGTGATAACATCTAGATGACATCTAGATAACATATCTAGTTGAACGCATCCTATTGGTTAATATAGCAGATCTAGTTG